CCTCACTGGGGGCCAGCGCTGTGGGAGTGAGGATGATGAGGGGCCTGAGCTGCTCAGGGACACGAGTCCCGGGTGTGCCATGTGACCACCTCGGGAGAGGGCTCTGGCTCGTTGTGACCTGGAGGAGTAACCCACCGCCTTCTGCAGCTCTTTCAGACCCGGTTGCAAAGGAGAGCTGCATGCTCCACCTGCTGCTGTCCCTGCCAGAGGCCAACCTGCTCACCTTCCTTTTCCTTCTGGACCACCTGAAAAGGTAGCCCAGCTCTCCCGTGGCTGCTCAGGACTCCAGGGTGCCCCACTGCTCCCGTCAGACCCCCAGTACCGAGGACCTTTCCTCCTGTCCCCTGCCTGCAGTCCCTCACTGCCTCTGGGGACTAGTGCCTCTGCGGCCCCCGCTCAGCCTCTCCTCTTTACCACTCTTCTCCCTCTGCACTGTGGCCTTAACAAAGAGCTCAGAGCTTTCGCCATGGCCGCCATTGCGCTTGATCTCCCCAGTTCCCTCCCACCCAGATCATGGAGGAGACCTCCCCACCAGCCCAGAGCTGGCCCCTCGTCCTGGGCCTCTCGTCCTGGGCCACCTAGACCCAGAAGCACCAGGGCTGGAGTCAGCTTGCAGCACAGCCAGGGTCGAGGTCGCTCCCTCCCTGAGGACTCCAGCACGGCCCAGCCCTTCCGTCTCTCTCCTGTTGGTGGCGTTGAAACAGCCCCCTCTGCTTTGGTCCTCGACAGGGTGGCAGAGAAGGAGGCAGTCAATAAGATGTCTCTGCACAACCTCGCCACGGTCTTTGGCCCCACGCTGCTCCGGCCCTCGGAGATGGAGAGCAAGCTCCCTGCCAACCCCAGCCAGCCCATCACCATGACCGACAGCTGGTCCTTGGAGGTCATGTCCCAGGTATGGGAAGACAGGCTCCAGCCCATGCCACCCGACCTGACAGGGGTGGCCTCTGCCTGCGCCACCCCGAGTCCTGCCCATCCTCCTACTTGCATTGTCTGTGGAGGTGGCCAAGATTCAGAGAGAAACTTGCCTAGGTCTGCACGAATGGGAGTGTTATCGGGGGGTCCAGGCCACCTCCTGGTCCTGCTGGTGCACCCTGCTGGGGGCTTACCGCCACCCCGAGTGTTCAGGCGTGGTGGCTCATGCCTGTAATCCCAGCACTTTGAGAGGTCACGGCAGGATAACAGAACCCAGGTGTTTGAAAGCATTCTAGGCAATGCAGCAAACTCCATCTCTAGAAAAAATAGAAAAATTAGCCAGGCATTGTGACATACACCTGTAGTCCAGGCTACCAGGGAGGCTGACATAGGAGGATCGCTTGAGCCCAGGGGTTAGAGGCTGCAGTGATCCATGGTGGAGCCACTGTCCTCCAGCCTGGGTGACAGATCAAGGCCCTGTGCGGCTCTGAAATAAAACCATCCCCCTCAGTCATGCCTTGTGATGACCCCACCCCACCCCTGTCTCACTGTAAGGGGTTCACGGTACCGGCAGAGGCCTCAGCTCCTGGGCTGGACTTGGGGGCTTGGGCCCCAAAGCCCTCCCCACCAGCAGCTGTGAGCA